TGATTGAAGCCAAGCCTGCTCCAACACCACTAGCAACCAGTCCGGTTCTCACTTTACAATCCGGACCTCCACTATCTGACCTGACCGAGTATGGAATGGTTGTCGGCAGCCTCCAGTATCTCTCTCTCACTCGACCAGATGTTGCTTATACTGTGAACAAGCTCTCTCAATTTATGCACCAACCAACCAATGATCACTGGAATGCAGTTAAGCGTCTACTACGATATCTCTGTGGCAACTTAGATCATGGCATCACACTTAGTCGGACCTCCCCTCTAGCACTTCATGCTTTTTCAGACGCCGATTGGGCGGGCAACAAGGATGATTTCACCTCCACCGGTGCATACATAGTCTATCTGGGTCACAATCCTATTTCTTGGAGCTCTAAGAAACAATGAACTGTGGCTCGCTCTTCCACCGAGGCTGAGTATAGATCGGTGGCCTCTACTGCAGCAGAAATTCGTTGGATTTGTTCTCTTCTGACAGAACTAGACATCTCTCTTCCTCAACAACCAGTTATCTATTGCAACAATGTTGGTGCAACAACTCTCTGTTCCAATCCAGTCTTTCACTCACGCATGAAACATGTTGCTCTCGACTATCATTTCATTAGGGAACAAGTTCAAAATGGTTTGCTACGAGTGTCACACGTCTCCGCTGCTGATCAACTAGCCGACGCTCTCACGAAACCTCTTGCTTGCCCTCAATTTGACTCGCTCAAGGCCAAGATTGGACTTGCTCCACCGCCGTCCATCTTGCGGGGGCATGATAACAATATAAATCAATAGTCATCAATAAAGGGATTCTCATCCAATTATAGACAGAGACAAAAAAGGAATTTGCACCAGTCAAGGGATTATCATTCCATGTGTTTTCTTGTTTCCTTTTATGTGTAATCCATTTCCATTCATATGCTTTTGAAATCTGTATATATACTCTGTGTATCAATGAAATCAATATGCCATAATTCTTTAATCTCTCCTTTTCTAAATTCCTTTAAAAGCTTCCTCTTTCTCAATGACATCGATCCCACTCTCGAGATTCCCTTCGCTCCCTCCTGGAAAGGAACCACGATGACAGTTTCCTCTATTTTAAAGTAATTTAGGATTTTCATTTGTTTTGTTAATGTGGTAAATGGGTTAAAGGAATAGCTGTGGTGGTAGGTGGAGTTGGCGATGCCGGTATAGTCGGTGCGGTGGTAAATCGGATTTGATTTGTGTTATTAAAGTGGTAAATGGAACCACTATCTAGATCCGAAGTGAGATCAAGAGGAGTAGTGAAAAAAATTTGGAAAGTAGTCAAAATTGCTTCCTCGATTGGACAGTGGTGAAGAAATTGGAAAGGGAAGCAATTAAATTGCTTCATCGATTAAACGGTGGTGAAGAAATCGGAAAGGGAAGACGTCTGGGAGTTGTGGTGGCGGCCGGACGTTTTTCTGGTTTTGATTAGGTGGGGCGGGTGAAATGGAAAAGAAGGTTGGTTTATATTTAATTATTTAACGTGAAAAATGTAAAGTACCATTTTGCCCTTTTTAATTTGGTCAAAATTGATCAAAATCTTGACTTTTTTTGTCAACTACTGGTTAGACGGATGGTTTCCATCCATTTGGACATCATGTGCGATTTTTGAAAGGTTTAAAATTGTGGTTGACACAAAGTGAAGGTCAGAGTAAAATCACAAAAAAGTTGAAAGCTTAGGGACCATTGCTGCAATTATCCCTAAATTATATGCTATCTTTTTGGAATAAGGAAAAACCAACTCAAACAAAAGAGTAAATTAGGATTGGCCATCCCAATCTTCCATGTACTATGGTTATAGGTACACATCCTTCAAAAGTGAAGTTTTAAATCACCACTTATTTCAATATGTAAAATCGGGTCCACCCGTGATTATAATCGTCTATTTGAAGTTGAACGGTAAAATTACACACAACTTTCAGTTTAATTAGAGACGAATGTCAAATGCTTCAACGATTTTGCTCTCTAGTTGGGAATTGTGTTAAAACCTTGTGTGATTTTAACGTCTAATCATCTATTGTGATGATTTTAGTTACGTTAGGAACCAGGTCCACATATTAGGTTGTGCATCTAAAACCTTACTTTTAAATATGAAAGGTCCATAGTCATACCACGCGGAAAATTGGGGACCAAGCCTTAATTTTTCCAAAACAGAACTTAAAAGTTGACCCAATTAAGAGCTTGTTTGGGAGGAATTAAAATTCAATTAAAATTGAAAATATAACCGTTATTGGGTCTCACTCGTTTAATAAAAATCAACGTCAACGACTAGTTTTTCAATTTTAATCCCTCCCAAACAAGCTCTAAAAAAGATCAACGATTCGTGGGCCCAGCTCATTTGGGCCTTTTGAAGCAAACAAATAAGGGAAGAATACATAAATCAGCCATTTAGTTTTACACATTTCAAAAATACCAAAACATGTTTTAAATTTCAAAAATCAGGTTTCTTTATAATTTTAATTAGGAAATAATTATTATTAATTTAATTTATTATTAATATTTAATTCTACTATAAAATAATTAACCAACCCCCACCCCTACAACTCAGGGGGTATTCTGGCGACCGTTTTGGTCACCACTCTTCTCCGACCACCGTTCCAACGACTTTTCCGGCGACTGATCATATTCCGACGAATATGTTAAGGTCACACATCTATACAATTTGGTCACAATTCAAAATTTTTTAGGTCACGATTCAAAATTTTCATAAGTCACAATTTGTTTATCGGTCGCAACTTAAAAATTTAAAAGTCACAATTTTTTCATCGGTCACAAATCACAAAATTTGTAAGTCACAATACTTATTTACGGTCACAAACATCCCATTAATTGAACATATATTATATTTTAGGTCACAATTTATCAAATTATTGGTCACAAATTAATAATGT